CATCATTGTCATCACCGATGGTGAGCCCTCTGACGATGTTGAGTCTCCCATTATTCAGACCGCCAAGAAGCTTGATAAGCTCAACGCGCCTGCCTGGCAAGTCGGTATCCAGTTCTTCCAGGTGGGCCAGGAGTCTAGTGCACGCAAACATCTCAAGCAGCTTGATGATGGGCTTGCTGAATTGGCCGAGGACGACAATCTCAGAGACATTGTGGATACCGTTCCTTTTAGTGGCGCAGAAGGCGAGCCACTGACTGCAGCGGGTATTCTCAAGGTGGTCATGGGTGCAGTTCACCGTAGGTTGGACAGAAACTCCAAAGATCTGCATAAGACTTGATGGCTATACACATGGATGCCCTGCAAAGGGCACAGTATAGCGGGATGGTAGTGGTGACTACTAAGCTGGGTGCCGATTAACGCGTGTGGTGCTTTGTAGGTAGTAACACCCATTGTAGGGGGGTCAAATTCACGAAGTGTCTTCTGTAGAGTCGAAAATTGTGAGCTGCATCTATGCAAATGAACATAGCCCAAAGATAATGACCTGAAGCCGTCACTCAAAATGATGACCTTCATCGATGTGACTCTTCTAAGCCTATCAATGCGCTCGCTCACTAAATATATAGAATTTAATAGAATAGGACAAGTAGTTAAGCTTATAAATGCATAATTATAATAGATAGCTAGTGGTGTCTCGTGAATATGAGGGATCATACCTATGTAGGGCTGATTGAAATGGGCTACGTCCCTGTAGCTAAGATTGTGCTTAGTATGTATATATGTGTACAAATTGATCGCAATGGCCACACAGCACTTGATGAAGTTGATTATTCGGACCAAGAAGAAGCAGCAGCTAACATGCTTTTTCAGAAAGGGGCCCGTCATGGCGGAGGTTAACCAAAGCCACACAGAGCTAGACAAACTATAAATGATAAATAGTTAGTTAGTTAGCAATACTTCTGCACAATATGCCTAACTAAACTAAGGTCCTGTGTGAATAATGGTCGGATAGCGCGTTTTACCCTTGCCCATCCACCTGCGCTGTCTGAGCGCTGCTCGAACCGAGATTCCATCGAGGAGCTATCCAAAAGGGCGTTCAGCCCGGTACATTCAGGTAGCAAAAGACAACAAGGCTTGGGATGTAGAAGAACTTCCTTCTGCACCAATATCCTTTTAGCTTATTTTATCTTATGTGATTATTACCTTTCCTTTCCTTTTCTTTCCTTTCATTTCTTGATAGGCTGAGATAATGTGAAAACTAAAATACTGACCTAACCAATGAACTATCTTGATATGTAGTGTAATTAAATTAGTAAGTAGATACCTTGGCATACTACAGCTGAGTACCGAATGGAGGTGTGCCTAATGGGCATATATCCGTTGAGAGGTTCTTGGTATTGTTGCCAACATAGTTTTACTTTGACTGCAAAGTCAAATTTTCACGATACCCGATTCCGGCAGGTTGGAGTGTGGCCTAGGATTCTTTTCTGAGACGGAAAGAAAATTTCGCTCTCGAGATCAAATATTTGTAACTCGTCACTTGCGACTCTGGCATTCTACCCTAAGACACAGATGTGCTTCTTTCTATGCCAGCCTTGCATATCATTCATCTCGAGGGGAAAATCCTGGACTCAGTATAGCTTAAGCTGACATAGAAATCGCTTCACACGATCGACCTACACGATTTCAATTATGATTCGGAACTCGTGTTCAGAAGGGTCTCATGTGCTTGTTCCATGTTGCACGCACGTCTCCGGAAGCCCAATCTTTCAAATTGGGGGCAGCTATGTTTTGTAAGGCCATCAAGCACGACACAGAAACTGCAGCTGCAAACAGCTCTCTGCGACTCGGCTCCTGGTTGACCGTCGCATTCGAATTGAACTTTAGTATCTCCGGAGGGTCGAACCACTATGTTGTCCACTATCAGATCCAGTAGATGAGGGAAGTTTGGAATCGTGCCAATAAGTCGTGAGCGCCACTTTTCGTACGTAGCATTCTGAGTTTTGTGGCAGATTCCCATTTCAAAGTTCGCTGTTAGTAACCTTGAGTCATCGCACGTAATTATTCCATTTGGACATAGCCTGGAGATCCAGAATACCTTTTCCGTCATGCATTTACTAATACATGACGAAAGCGATGTCGTTCCAATTCTCATGTGCAGATTGGTTTTGATTACGCTCACAGGCCAGTAAGCATGTGTGAAGTATATGATTCAAAACGCTGAGTCATAATCTTTCCAACCACGCTGCAGCTGTATAACGTGCTCAGTGATCAGCATATCACTACTGAGCAATCGAGTCTATCGCACTATATAGTCGTCAGCGGCCACTACTTCACTCCTATATAGTATATGCAGGTGCGTAATGGTTTTGGGTAGCCCCACCTTCCCTATATAGCTTAGTTCAGGAAGCCAATCGATGACATTGGTCAATTCTCGATCTCATAATAACTTTTGTGACGTTGCTTGCGGAAGTGGAGTCGCAATCGCTGATGACTAACCTCCCTCCACATGTAGCGGAAAAATCAGTGGGCTGGAACTAGCCAATGAAAATGCAAGGTCAGCAGTCATTTCTTCCAAGATGCTGGATCTCATTGGCTCATTCCGGTCCACCAGGTTTTCCGGCACAAAAGGAAGGATGTTATAAGCTTACTTACCCATACGTAACAATATAACCAACGGTAAGCTAGTCAAGTCTTGGTTACAGAGAGAGGTTTCAGTAGTTGGGCTTTGCGCGCACATGCAGGTATACGCAGGTAGGTTTTGTCACTACGTGGGATCATTGCTCTCCTGGTCCATGACATGTCTCCAGCGAACTTAAAACAGACTAGGCCATGTTCTAGCCTCTTCGAAGTATCACTTCACTAAAACCGGTACTTTTAGGGAGCAATCAGATAGTATCGTAGTAAGAAAGCTGCCTGTAGATGTATCGAGATGTGCTTATAAACAGATTGAGATGGAAACAGTGAATTAGGTCACTTTCGACTCGGCCAGCTGTTCCTGAAGCGCATCAATCTGCCTCTGCAAATGCTCCTTTTCAGCCTCAAGCTGCGCCTTCTTCTTAGGCTTCTTCTTGTCAACGTGCACGTTTTCGGCAAACGACTTGACAAAGGGGATGTCGTAGCGATCACATGTCAGCTCCACATTGCCGCCCTTCCAGTAGCCTTCTCCACAGCACACGACCAC